ACATGGGTTTGCCCATTTTAAGTGCCTTCAAGATCTTATAGCTGATTCAGAAGAGTAGCTCAAGCACAGATCTTAGAGAGTGAGGCCCTATAAAGAAACTCAGCATGAGAAGCCCCTTCACCTGCTCCATTTTTGGAGTGGTTCCTCACTACACCCAGCTGTGCTGTGAGACAGCCCCATGCTCCCCAACAAGGCAGGCACACACTCAGCTGCAGGGTCAAAGCAGCCTCTGCTACACGACTCGTAGAGGATGCAGCTAAATATCATAGAAATAAACAGACAAGCTTGCTTTGACCATCCTAGCCAAGAGGCAAGCTAAAAGCCAATGAAATTGTTCCAGGAAAAAGAAAGAAAAGAAAAGCTTAATCTGAGTAAAAATATAGTCCCTGAGCATTGGCAGGCTCAGGGTCAGGTTGGGTTACGTGTTGTATAAGGCCCCATTATACAAGCCAAGGCAGAGCAGAGGCTTTCCCAGGGCTATTCAATCCTCCTTTCTCCTGCTCAGTTTCACTGCTGCTCCCTCATTCCTTCCTTCTCACTATCCCYTCTTCTGATGCTTGCTTGGACATCAAATAGGTCAGTCCAAGTGCTTCCATCACTAAGAGTTAGAAGATCACACAAATCACTTCCTCTCTGAATAAAATATGACTGTGGGAGCCTAAAGTTGCTCATGTGAGCAGCTGCTTATGTGTGTAGCAGAAAAAACAAGTGTATTACATAGAAGGGACACAGCCTCGGCAACACAGAGTGACCAGAACCCCGGGGCTAAATGCAGGCATCACTGAGACCTGTGCAGTGTGGACAACAACAGAAAACAGTGCTCAAGGGGTTCCTGATAACTGAGAAAAAACACACAAGTGTTCCACAGACACRACTGTTACTATTCCTCCATTTTAAACTGGCTGCTGAGGAGTGTTTTCCCTTTGAAGCATGTATGTTCCTCTCAGGCCAAGTTCACCTTCAGATTATGTTTTTCCATGAAGAAGTGTCATATCAGTGGCAAATTAATCTTTGCCAACACTCACAAGCATCTTTTTCGCATCCCAGCACTCACCCTTCAGGCAGGCTTTTCAAAAACATCTTCAGCTTTGTGGGTTTTTTTTTTAAATGGAGCAATGCAAAGTGAGGCTGCTTCCCTTAACAGACTTCCAGAGTGCATTTGCTTCTCCAGAAAGAGCTTCCTGCAATCCCTCAACTCTCTCATTACCAGATCAKTTTTGATTCCATGTTCTGCTCACCTGGAAAAAAGCAGCACTCACCAGAAATAACATGCACTTTCYGGAGTGAGGACCACCACCTGCGTTTGAAAACCTACTCCAGCACAGTGCATTTCCACTGCATTTTTTTTATCTTTTCTACATGTTTAAGTAATTGCTCTCAACTCAGCACACATCTGCAGTACTTTGAAAGCAATTTTTCTGGTTTTGATGTTCTAARTTTGACTCCAAGACCCCAAAAAAGCTGCTGAAACATGCTGGCAACTCATCATAATCTTCCAAAGAAAAAGAAACGTAACATTAAACTTAAAAGAAGATCCACTGCAATTTTTGAGAACTATGGAGAATATACAGATGCCCTGGCAAATACAACTTCCTTCTTAATCAACAAGAAGGGAAAGCAATTATCTAAAGCAGCATTTTCATGACAGAGGGWAAGAACAAAACACTAATCGAAATGCACTGAAAACCCAGTTGAAGTTTGTCACTGTAGCAGGAAGAGAAGAACACACCATTTTACTTGGAAACTGGAGAGCTCAAACTTTTCAGATCTAGTCAGTATTACAGAAGAGAGCAGACTTTCTATTATACAGTACACAACACCAGATGGGTGTAAAATACCTGTACTCTTACTTCCCTGCCTCCTTCTAGAGACTCCTTCAAAAACCTTCTGTCTTTACCATATCTATCTTGGGACTCTTCCTTACAAAGCCGAAATGCTTGCTCCATGCAGTCTGTTTTCTGATGCAATATAGTAAATTGCTATTCTGTGAAGTGCTTGAAAAAAGTTTTTTGAATGAAGTCCAAAAGAATATTCTCCTTGCCGGTGGCTGTTCTCTCTGTCTTAACCTAGATCAGTTTGACATAAGCCATTTATTTCATGGTTAACTGCGGAAAAATCCTGCAGGGAGYGTAAATTTGTGCATTAATCCTGCTCACCGGTTTGGTTCCACTTGGGTTTGGACGACGGAGGTGCTATGTTGCAGCTCTCAACTCATATTYAGTGTTTCAAATGCTTTTAACCAAACACCATTCCAGAAGCCTTCTGCGACTCTCGCACAAACTCATTGCTGCAGAGGAGAGAAAGTCACACCACTGGAAGTGCTGAGCATTACAGTGGAACATAAAGCAGCATTAAAGTTTAAGCAGCTAATCTTGTTTCGGTTGAATGGCATGTTCATTACAGCAAATAAATCAGTAACGTGTAGGATTATTGAAGAGGAAAGACATATTAAACCAGTTTAGGGCATCATATTGATTTTTCAATATTTTTTTTTAGTGTCTGATTTAGCTTGGCGTTTTTCAACAGTCAGTTCTAATAAACGCTTGTATAGCACAGATTAAGCAGGTGGGAACRCTGCCCAGAAAGAGTATTATGAATAACTTAATGCACTGGTTTAATTGCAGCAATCCATGATACTTACTGTGCTGGCACCAGAGGGGAATTTTCAGTATTAAAAGTTAAAAATTCAACTGAGCTACTAGCAAGTATCTTTCTTTTATTAATTATTTGAAAATATTYCCATTATTTTCACTTCAGATGGGAGCAGAGGAGAATTTCAGAGCTCACRTAACTTTTTCACTTATTTCTACCACAACCAATTAGGTTTTTGTTAAAAAGTAATTAGCATTTACTTGACACAACTTTGCCTCTCTGACACTGCAAAACATTGTCCCTGCTGTCCTTGTGCTGGGTCARCCCTGTTCTGCTCAGTCCCCTTTGCAAACATGATACACAAAAGTGAAAAAGCCCAAGCCCAGCTCAAGCTTCAAGCAACAGGCTCCTTTCAAAGCTATACTAGAGAGTATCCCCATATTCCTTCCCCACAGCCCCCTGGCACAACCCTTGCCAGGGATAGCACTGGCAAGGATATCTGAGCTATCCACTAGCTCAGAGCAGATGCTGGAGGAAGCAGCACCAACTTTCCAGCAGAGCAAAGCATTGAAGATGCAGCCACAGCACAAGACGCTGGTCTGGCAGCTCCCTAAGCCCACACATGGTCCTGGACACAGACCATGCCAGGAACACTCTGGAAGGCAAGCAGGGATGCTGCTAACCTTTTCCAAGCACAGGTGTTTGACACAGATATCACAAAACTGATTGCGGTCACTGATCACACCACTTCCCATTTTGTTCCTTTTTTCCRTGTCATTTTTGCCTTAGCTTAGATTAGGAGCTCCAAGACAGCAACTGCACTTCAAGGCTATTGCACATAAATCATCCTGACTGCCTCCAGCAAGTAGCAACAAACACCCACCATAATGCTGGGACAAGCAACACGACAGAGAAGTTGCAGAATTTATCGGCTCTGCTCTTCCAACATGTAACTTTTCACACTAGCAAAGACAGAGAATGCGCATCCTGCACAAACTTAATGAAGCTTAGGCTAAAAAAAGCTTACAACAGTCCCAAAGGGAAAAATCACAAGGAAATAGGCACAAAAATTGGTAAGTTACCCATACATTCTGATTAGGAGTGATTTTGCTAATCACACAGCTTATCATTCCAGAGAAACTCTATATTCAGGGCACGAAAACTAAGGTAGAAATTAGCMGAAATACAAGATTTGACAGTACTTGATTAATGGGACTGAAAGCAGCAGAAACAAAATATTAGGAAACTGAAGCCATTTTGTGATTATAACAGTTATTTAATGAAGAAACAAAAAGCAGCCATTACACAAAAAATATCTCTTTTTGGTTTCTTTTAAAGAAGTCACTTGTTTAGTGCTAAATAGGGGTCCTCACTCAGCTGGAAACAGAACAGGAGCTTTGTAAAGAACCTTTGGACAGGGATTATTTCAACATCATCACACAATGCAGGTACCTTCCCAGAAGAAAGCAGTTGCTTTTGGGTAACTTAGAAGCAGATCCCTGTTGCCATCGCACTACTCACTCCCAGTTCTGACCTGTGCAGGGAGCCTCCAGCTATATGTGCCAGCACAGAGCAGTGGGGACTCAGGCCCAGCTGCCCTGCATCCATATCTTGCAGTCCCCAGCTTCACTTCCACCAAAAAGCCAGGGGATCCCCCTTCCACCCCAGCTGCAATCCAGGTCCCATTCATATCCTCTTTTCTCAGGACCTTTCAACAACCTGCACACTTCACCAGCCTCTCCTGCGTGTGCTCACAGACCCCCCTTTCTACATTCAATTCCTCCCTGAACCTCTGCTCCATGCATCTGCTAGATCCTCTGCTCTTCCCAYCAGCCCTTTTCCTGCACTGATTCCCTTTCAAGTTTCTCTCCCAAGCATACAGGCAGCCAGAACCACAGCAGCATTGCAATTTTCCCACCTGCCTGGAAGTTCCTCRCAAGGGACACGCCGAGAGGTAAATTTGTCTTTGCCCTACTCACATCCCAGCACTAGAGCACCAGGCTCCTGCCATCAGGCGAGACACCAGACTGTCTCCATGGTGAGGCACTGCACTGCTGCTTTTCAAACCTTGCAGCCCAGCARTGATCCAACTCCGTTCCTGCTGAAGCTGTAAGGGGTCAGTGCAGGCAACAATGACAGCACGGTATCCCCACCAGCCTTATTTATGCGCACCAACCCAAGAAACTCAGTTGCAACTAACACGAGCCTTTCCATAGACTCCAGGAGACTTCGACAGAGCTGAAACTCCACCCTCTCAGCAGTTGCTGTTCTGTAATTCAGCACAGCACTGCTTTGAAAAGRTCTTTCTGATGCTGCTGTCCTGCAAACAGCATAATGAAGAAAAACAGGCARGTGCTTCTGAACACAAACCCAGAACAGTAGTATAAAACTTCTGTAAGATGAAGCAATTAAGTAACCACGCTGTTAATTGTTCATCGACAATCTTTATTAGAGCTGACTTTGCACATTTAGAGGTTTCCTAATAAGTATAAATATGAATCAAAGTGCTACCCCACAGTAAGAAATCTTTATTTCCACAAAAAAAGGATACAAACAACCAGTATTTCAAAGTTTATGCTATTTAAGACATACAATACCAAAAAGGMAAAAAATAAACAGAGATGAAATACTAGCAGCAAAAAAGAATTCTATTTCTCTTTCAACAGTCTGTGTGCTTCCATATTTCTCTAGTAAATAGAGTATAAAGAGAATTCAATCAATTTATATATGAAATCCTACCAAAAATATAATACTGTGCAAAAAAAGTTAACAGTAGAAAGTTCAGGGGCAGGGCAAAGAAAAAAAAAGGAGAAAACAGTAGATGCAATATTAAAAATCTCAACTGTAAACTTTGCTGCTGCTTTAAAATCAAAAACAAAAGTCACATGAGTATTTCCGTTTGGCTTAGGAGCCAGGAAAATAAGAAAAGCTGATTTTTTTTAAAGTGCTTAACCACCATATCCAAAAGTAATGACTTTCAGACCTACTTAACATGAATGTGCTCAAAAAGCCACTGCTTACAGTATAAAAGCTGTCATTCTGAAACACTGCGCATACAAACTGGCTTTATCTGCACGAATGAAAGATTCCTTTGAACAGCTCTCAATCATATGATGTCCCAAATCAATCTAATGCTATTAGAGCAGGCAGCTGAATAAGTACCAGAAAGTTGAAGTTTAAGAATAATAGATATAAAAAATAATTTTTTTCTTAAAAGGCAGCACATGCCTCTCCCAGCCGAATGAAGGTACCTTTATGTAATAAATGAGATAAACAGTTTTATATTACTGTTGTAAACTATCTAAAACTGACTGCTGATCTTATAATTCACATGTTAAACAGAGAGAGATAGATATTTCTTACTGATAAAACACTAAAAGGCAATCATGTGGGTGGGACCAATTGCTAACACAGTATTTTACTTATTATTAAACACCCTGTTTTGACTTCAAAACCAACACTGTGTCCCAACAGAAAAAAAATACTAACAAAACCAAGAACACAAATGATTTGAAGAGTTTTAAGACTGTTTTGTAACACTGTTATATATTTATTTGAGCCTTAGTGCAAAGTAAAAATTCAACATTATAGGCTCCGAAGCAAATCAAATACATATAACTCTTTCATGGAGCATTTTGACAGACATCAGACAAGATTCCAAGAGAAATTTAATTTTTTTTAGCTGTAATGACCATTATTTTTTTTTAATCTCAAGATTCAAAAATACATTTAAAAATTGGAGTAAAGACTCTGGCATTCATTAACCTCAGGTGTAGTTATAAACAATTTTGATCCCACCACTCTCCCAAATAAGAAATACAATAAACAAACTGAACTGCCACTACTGCTGCAGCCATAGAATTGTGCCCACGGCCTGACAACAGCACCACCCATCCCCACAATTATTGCACTAATTTCTCCATCAGCTTTGGAGGTCTGCAAGCTTAATTTGTTTACATCCATCTATTTCACAGGAATAATATTTTTAAACTATTTCTTGAAGGTCACCAATTCCCAACACAGTATATTCATGTTCATCAGAACCCCCTGATTCACTTCCTCTTAAAACAGATCACCTAGAAAACACAACTTTCACCCCATAAAGTTCCTGTAAACACCTCTGTATTAAGCCACAGCAAGCTCTAGACCAGGAAATTCAGCATCTCCAGTGACTTGACTTTACCTCACTTCTCCACAAAAACATAAAAAAACCCAAAACATTCGAATTAAAAAGGAAATGGCATAATAAACAGAGAGTGAAACCTTGTTACCTAAGTAGATACGTTTAAAAAAGCCTCAGAAAATGTAACATTTGAAAAGCAATGATTTTAGTGGTTAAAGTGTGCAAAGGGCTAAATATGCCACCAGTTTCAGAGAGAATAGAATACTGTAGCCATCAACAATTACTATTCAAGTCCAGCACTGGCAGTTGTGCTGCTTTTGTTGCCATTTTAGACACCACATATTACCACTTTCTCTGCATATTTCATGCCTCTTTTTTTTTTAACAGATGCCAGCAGCATGAGATTTCAGTGGTATTGGAAAGATAGGAACTTCTTATTTTTTAAAGGGTTCCTTCCATCCCAAGTCTGAATGTTATGTAGAATTGAAAACAATGTTTTAAGCAGAAACAGCAAACATTATTTCAAGTGTTGTCTATCAAAATCACCTCAAAAAGATTCAAAATCTCAGGTTTTTGAGAAACAAATATAGAAAAATACCATGCAAGGAAAGTGTAGCTATTCTATTGATGTGAAATACAAAAACTTAGAAACAGAAAAACACCAGCTTCAGCYCGAGACCAAAAAAACCACCATAGATTTTTCAAAACCAGAGTCCATACAGTGTCACACAGCCCTGCCTTGTCATGTTTGTTAATATCCTTGCTTAGAAGTCAGACAGCATTTTGTTTAACTCGTGTTGCTCTGTATCATTACACTAAACCATAATTAACTCCTCTTTTGTGCCGGCCTCATTCCAACACAATTGTACCCACTGTATACCAGCAGCAGTTCTCAGGTTTTGTTTTGCAGCTCAGCTGTATTTTTCTTGGATGTTCACAAGACTGGCATTTGACTGGATGCGCTTGGCTAGAAAGGGAAAAATTATATGAAAATTAAACACAAAGAATTCCACAAAACTAGTCTCTCCACTCCCTCTATTTATCCGACACAGACTTGCAAAACAGCTTTCTGTTCACGTCCAGAAACTTTAATGAAAAATATGGCTGAAGCTCTGTACTACCCTTCTTCAGGGGACAGCAGCAGACTAATAGTTGCTATTAGCGCCGTCAGCACAGCTGCAGGCAGATCTGGCTGGGCCCCCTCTCCCACAAGAGCCAAGCAATCCCTGGCACCACCCAAGTCCAACAGTAAAATGCCAACAGCACCACTTACGCAAAATGAGTATCCGTTTCTTCTGCTTTGAGTGAAGGAAGCTACTAAGATAAAAAACGATAGGAAGGAAGAGAATAAAAGATGAAACTGCAATCACTGGGACYGTATCACTGCAGGGAAGAGAACAGTTGAAAGTCCTGCTCCAAAGCTTCCGAGTGATGTTCATCTAAAAAGAAAACATAAGTAAACCATGAAAGCAAGCACACACACTTTTTCTGTGCAGCACAGCACGGCAAACACTCACATGCTTCAAGACATGCAAGTGTTCAAATATCACCTCAGAGAACAGCACCTGAATAGATCTCTCCCCAAAGAGAGATGGAAGCAAATCCCTGGAAATGTTGAGACAATTTAGATGAAGCCAAGATTTCACATCAAAACTTTCACAAGCTTCAAAAATATAACTATACTCAGATACATGTAGACATTGCCACATGCCTGTTTCCCAGAGAGCTCACTGACACTCTGTGGGGACAGGGCTAATCCCATACTTTTGAAAAGCACTCTTTCAGCCCTGCCACTTAAAACTCCATGATATACCAAAGCTTTTCCCAAACAAGTCATCAATGCTGAGGATCCCTAGAAGCAAGTGCTGTAATATGGAATCAATTAATACACCAGCTAAAACAATAGCAGCAAAGCTTCACATTAAAAGCCAGAAGATTAAGAGGTTTTTTTTGGTTTTTTTTTAATCCACCTCCTTCACAGTAACAAGAAATGAAAGTGCAGCTACTCCAACTGGAATGTGCTTGTGAGATCAGGAGCTTCAGTCATGCTYCTGTGGCACTGCTCGAGGTCAGGACCCAGCAAGACAGCCCCACTAAGAGACACCAGCCTGCCAAAGGCACTGCTGCCCATCCTGCCCCATGCCCAAAGGAAAAGACAMTCCCTAATAAGAAAAGCACAAATGGCTCAGATTAATAAAGCCCCCCATGACAGAGCCTCCCTGCTGAATATTAACAAACACTTACAGCATCTTCCACGTCGATACACAAGTGTGCAGGCTGCCCGGACTCACCACCTTGCCTGATCATCCTCTGCAGATGGTTGTACAGGTCATTCAATTTGGTGTAGGTTTCATTGCAGTTTTTACACACTTCTGTGTAGTTATTTGGTGACAGATCGGTTTGTCCCTAGGGTTATAAAACCCTGAATGAATGATAGTTTAAGACATTACAAAAAAAAAAAAAATTTGGTTTGAGTTCTTAGGTTGCTACTGCTKAGCTACATTGACAGGGATGGACTCTGCCAACTACGTAACCCTTTTCATCTGTGGCCTTTGGCACTCCATGAATGCAATACAAGACACAGGAAAACAAAACTAGAATCTCTGAAGATATTTCAATCCACTAATGGCTGTACCAGCTACCCACTGACCACTGGTTAAAGTTCCAGTACAATAATTTGAAGTTTTCAATAGGCCAGTCCACACTGCTCCTGACCAAGGCCTGTAAAGCTGCATTTCCTAGAAGGCATTAATAAAGGAGACAGTTTCCTCAGAGATTGTCCCATGCCCATTGGAGTAAATCAATTTAACTAGCGAATGATCCTGAAATCTGGCCAGTTTCTAAATGAAATGGAATATGCAGTTTCTTAGGATGTATACGGCATTTTCTCCAAAAACAATTACCACATTTATTTCACTTAGGAAGTTATATTGTCTTCRCAATATGGCCAACTTTTAACTACTTGTAATTTTAATAGTCAAAAGAAATGCTACAACAGTTTAAGGTAGCTGGTCTTTCTGAACTAGTCTATATTTTCTAAAGGATATTTAAAGATTGAATGTCTATGTAAAAAAGACTATTCTACAAAGCAAGAGAGACTAACAGCATGCAGACGTGCCACATTTTACAAAGTAATTATCAACTATTGTGAATTCAGAAATTCTAATGTGAAGTAGCATTGCAATTACATACAAAATGAAGTCAAGGTGAGTATCAATTAGAATTAATTTTAGGCACTCAATCTGTAAACAACTGCATTTAACAGATCATTGATTTATCTGCCTACAATTCACAAACCCAGCAGCAGCTTATTTGCCTAGTCTGCATCTGCAGTTTATTCAGCATAAAGAAAATTTTGGTAGCAATTAGAGGATTTAGTGTTTCTCTCAAATGCACAGCATAAATACCTGAAGGTTATGTTCAAAACATGTCAGAGATTTATTGAATAAATCCAGGAATTCTTCCGTAGAATTTGATAATCCCTCACTGTTATTCTTTAAACAATCTGTTGAAGAGAAAGAAAAACATTGGGATATTCTAATTTCTAACATTTTCACAGCCAGCAAGCCCCACACACTCCACTCCTRCAAAAAGAGCTCTCGACTATAAAGGACAGGTCTAGTCAACACTGCAGTTTCCTTATCTGCCTGCCATTGATATCTCAGACCTGCTGACCTAATGCTTCATCGAGAACACATTTCAGAATTAATTGGCCTTGATTAAGTGAAAGATGAAGACTACCATCAAGAGCTTTCTGAAGAGGGGGACTGAATTATCTTTGGACTTTGAAATAAAACAAGACATTACTTTCATTTTCCAGCCCACAAATCTGGCTTTGCCCAGCAACAGTAACAGCCATTTTGTGGAAGCAGAAGCACCAGCAGTGGAGATGAAATGGAGAGCACCCAGGAAACAGCTAGACCATGAACACAACAGCAGGAATCAAAGTGCAATTATTATTCTTTAAGGAAARAGCTGTGCTTTTTGCCAGCTTTGAGGGAAGCTCTGGGGCTTTCCTCACAGTYATGGGTTCAACCCCATGTTACTGCTTCCATCCATCCTACCCTACTTCAGGTGCTCCTATCAGCCAGACCTTTAAAAACAACAGTATTTGGGGAATTTAGGAGTTCAGCAACAGCACCAGAAGAGCAAGCCAACATCCTAGAAAATTCTCCTGGAAGCACTAAGTACCATCAACAGTTTTCCTATAGACTCCTGCCCTCAGATTTTGGCCCTTACAGAAGAAAACACTCTTGGAGTGGCTACAGTTCRGGATTTGTGTGTTATCTACCGGCTGCATTCAAACAAACACATACAATTTTCATCTGTGCAAATTTTAGGGGCTACATCATCACTGTAGCACGGAAGCTACAGAATGAGTCACGTACTTGCACAGTTGGCTGCCTCCCAGGTTTCATTGAAGAACTCCGAAAGGGTCACAACTATCTGCAGCCTGTCTGAGGTCAAGATGCTTTTGGCACAATTGTGGCTYTCAGAAGAATTCTATAAATAAAAGGAAATGAGAAAAGAAGCAAGCAAGTGTTAAAAATACAAAGGGGAATTTCTGAATTGCATTTTAGACAAGCACATCTAAAACAATTGCAACATATCACATCAGTATTTCTAGAAAAGGCAGAGCAGAAGTGATGGAACAAAAATCTTTTGATCTTCCAATTCATACTGTGAGCAACATGGCTTACTGCATACAGTCTGTGCATGCAAGGCAGTCAAAATTACATGGCAAAAAAACCCAAAACCAAGCACACAGACAGGACCTTCTCTGCCAGGTGGCTCACATTCATCCATTCCTGGGCCACTGCCTTGGRAGCCAGCTCAAGACATGTGCAGTCAGAAAAGAGGACAGGGTTGCTCTCATTAGASAGAAGGAATAATTGAAGGAGCTGAACCCATGTAGTGGCCTCAAACAAAACAAACCCAAGCAGAAATAGCCTCCCAAGCCTCCAAACCCACTGCATKAACATAAGTTAACAGCATCAAACTTCCCCCCAGTGCAGCAACACCAGGAACAGAGTCCTCCACAGAGCAGTGTCTGTGCTCACTCCCCCAAGCCTATGGCCAGGCCAGGCTCTCGCCCTCCCCAGACACCRGTACCAAGCTCATCTGTCTTAGTGAGACATTCAAGGCACGCCATCCCCAAAGCAGGCTCAGCCACAACTTTTGCAGCAATTTATTCTCTGGACCAAGCTCATAAAAAATGCACMGTGACTGTAAAAGCAACTGCAGAATAAACAGGAAGTCTTCTGATCAGAATTTAGATGACCTCCAGTCAGCTGACTCCCATGCTCTGTTTCCTGGTGTCTGGCTGCTAAATTGACTTAAGCACTTCTCGAAATTGCCAAAGCTGCCAAAAGCCTCTTTGATAAGTGACGTAAGACATAGGAAAAAAAACAGTCTCTAATGAGAAACTTGTTCCTTTCAGTACTTTACAGGAGATCCAGTTTCTGCCTCTCTTTGTCAAAATGGGTAAGGGGGGGTTAAATAAGAACTTTCCCTTGGAGGCTCAACTGCAGAAGTCAAATATTGCCACATCTGGTAACTCCCACRTTCAGCCACTTTCATTTCCACTAAATTACAGATATGCAAGAATGTTGTTTATGCAGGAAACTCTAGCTKCTTCACAAAGGCTGTGAAGCTTCCTCACCACCTGGGCTCAAGAGCAGGAAAAAGTACTTTACCAAAGCTAATCACAAAAGCCTAAATCATTCATTACACAAAGTTTGCCTAATTGATTCTTTAATTAGCCTGGTGAGGAGGATTTATGCTTCAGAGATGTCCAAAACTTAAACTGGCTGCTCCTGTCACATCGCACTCTGTTGTTAAGACAGACACATCAGATACCTGATTAATTGTACTCACTGACTGAGGTTGCAAGAGGCCACCTCCTTTATTTACTTGGCTTGTGAATCCACACACAGAAGGAAAGCCAGCAGATGGGTCTTCCAGACCATATAGTGGACCAGTCCCAGGCTGCCAGTGCTCAAGCACAGCAGCTGCAACGAGTTCATACATATTCTAAGTACTAGAATATGTTTGGCAAGCTAATCCTAGCCAAAACATCATGGTAAAAGTACTCAAGAGAATTACATACTCAATTTATCACTTTCACACTACCTGGTCACCAGCGTAAAACAGCTTCCATAAAAGAAACAAATCAAACAGACCCCAAGCTGGCAAACTAAAACAAGAGTGCAGTGGTTACATATTTATCCTGGAGAGGACAATYACCAAGGGAACATGCATGCATGCTTCCAATACAGGCACCAGGGTGGTGAGGGGAAACAGAAAAACAACCCAAAACACTCCCTAAAGTGATACCAACACTTCTCTAGTGACAGGAAAATGTGCAGTCCAATGGTTTGCAGGACACTGTGGCTGGCACCTGTTTATTACCTGGGCCTGAAGAGCAACAGATTTTTCTTGTCAATGGCAATTTTAAATCTTGGAATTCMGAAACCCCAAGACTGAAAGCACAATCCAGGGTACACACTGCTATAAACTTGCTCTCTGTCTGTTCTCCCACCAGGGCATCCACTTTTAGCCATCATCACAGAACAAAGGTCCTTTGGTCTGATCCACCAATGTCATCCTCACATCRCCCCAGGAACTAACTTTTACAAATGGATCAACTGGATGAGACCACACAAAACAAGCCATGAACCATRCCCAACACTAAGAAATGGAAGGGAAAAAAAAAAACCCCAACAAAGCACAATGAAGGTCTGGAGGATGTAAACAAAAGATGAAGCCTYGGTCAAAGTTCTCCCACCATTAACTCCAGCCAGTGTTCAGCCTTTCTAGTTTGCTGCCACACACTCCCATCAGCTGTGGAGCCAAGAAAAGTGTGACATAGCTCCTCACAAGCTGATGTGCATCACTCACCACAGCTTCACAGACCATCACTTTTCCGAGAAGTTCCAGGCAGCTAAGCTCTAGSAGTGCTCCCCATTAGTGCTATGTCACCTGCGAGCCAGAGCACTGCTTTAGCCATTGCTACATCAGCAAGAACAACTCAAGTTTTTCCACTCGCACAGCTTTCTCTGCAGGTGGAGCCACTCGCCCCCAGCCATGCCAGGCGYCAGACCGTGCCACAACAGAGCATTAGGAGGCGGCTGTCACTGGCACCCAAACACTCCCAGCCTCCGCCCAACAGCCCCGCGCAGCCCAGCRAGGCTTTCAGCCTGCCTTCCCGAGGATCCCACCGCCACCTGACGTGCTCCAGCACCGCACTGACACGCCTGGAATCCTCAAGGAAAATGGCCAGACCCCCAGCCCGCCCCGCAGCCTCGCAACCCCCTGGCCCCCAGGAACGCACCCCGACGGCGCGGGCGATGGTGCCGTACTGAGCGAGCAGGCGGCGGTAGGGGCCGTGGCAGCCCTGGCACAGCCGCACCGGGCGGGCGCGCCGGCCCAGGCAGCCCGTCAGCGCCGCGCTGTCCTCCGCGAAGGCGGCCAGGAGGCTGCGGCACTCGGGCTCCAGCTCGGGCAGATCGCCGGGCAGCCCCGCGCTCCACAGCTCCTCGGCCAGCTCCTCCGCCAGCTCCAGCGCCGGGGTGTGGCGCGGCCCCGCGGCGGCGGCGGTGAGGCCGAGGAGGGCGAGCGCCAGGGCCGGCAGCAGCAGCCGGCGGAGGCACCGCGG